GGGGGGGGGCAGGGGGGAGGGAAAGAAAAAGATTACCCCTGTCCTTAAGGCATGTTTCTTTTTCATGGTGTGCCACAAAGGGAAAAAACTTAGTAACAGACTCCCTGACTTGCTGAATCTATCAGATCATTGCTTCAACCACCTACTCCGAAACTCTGCTTCTACTGTCCCAGCCCATCTCCTTCAAAGCCTCTCCCTTATGGGCACTATATGTCTGCAGACAGTGCTGGGTCTAGGTGCTTCAGAGGAAAAATGAAAATGGAAATACCTGTTGTACATCAGCTAGGTGCTCAGTACCTGTAGTAATCATGAACAGAAAAATCTTTAGGAACTGTGGTAACTGGTTTAGGTTTGATGGGTTGGGGGATGGAGGGGTAAATTAATTTGTTTGGGTTTTGGGGAAGGGGGGAGAAGGGGAGTTTGTCTTAAGTTTAGTGTTAGAATTTGGAAATTGTGGGATTCTAGAACAGGATTTCCACCGGAATCTAAGTCCTCCTCAAGCCAGACAGCCAGGATCAGGGCTGTGGCCAGGATGCAGCAGTGCGTCAACGTGCATGTGGAGTTAGGGCTGGATTCGCTGTGTTCTGCCAAAGGGCAGCAGTAGGATAGGAGCCAAGATAGGGAACTTAGGGATATGAAAAAATCCTGCACTCCTGAATAACCGGAAGAAGTCTCTAGCCCTAGCTCTGCTCAAATGTTTTGCCTGTTTCTTCTTATTAATTCCCAAACCTCTTCTGTACCTTTTGCTTCCTGCAACTCGCAGCAGTGTCCTGTGCTCATTGAGGTTCACTGAAAACATTGGTAGAAAATCAGTAAACAACTATCCTCTGCACCCACGTTGTGGCCTTAAGCAAAGCTGGAAAAAAAAATAGGGGCAAGGAGAAAAAGATTTGTCTGCTAGATTTGTCTGTTCTTCAGAAGAAGCTAACCATCCTCACAATGATTTCCATGGGAGATGGGAAACTGTTTCTTTACTCACAAATATCACCCCATCACTGGATCCACTAGTGAAACAAAGGCATAGTGTTTGTTATTCATGTCTGTCTGTGCAGATTTTTGAGTGCTTCATCTTACTGTCTTCCTATTTCTAACATTTCAGGGCTTTCCAAGACAGCAAATTATTCTGACATAGAATTGTACTACTTAAAATACACTTTAAATACACTAACAGAAATATACACATATCTACAATATACATAAATTTTTACAATATACAACTTAATATAGAAGAACTGAAGTTTTGGGGCTAGCTTCTCTCCTCACATCTTGGATGACCAGCACAGCAGTTGGGTGTAAAACCCAAGCAAAGTGAAAAAGACCTTTAGAAGAGGAGGTTTCTCAGGAGAGTTAATTCCCAGAAGAAGTCATAGCACAACGGTCAAATGGAATAGCAGTAATTCCTGGTGACTGGGAATCCACAACAGTACAATCAGGATGCTATGCATTTTTTGGGGCATCATGCCAAATATAGCACCTCTTACAGAAAAATACAACTGTGTTCACAACTGTGTTCATCAGAAAATGCTCCCTGGCACCGAGTTGGGAACAAAGAGCAGGGGACAAAACAGCCCCATTTTGAAAGCTGTGATAGATAAACAAATACTTCAAGGCACAGGAAGAGAGATGAGACAGGAGGGTATAATTAGTACATCACCTCAAACCCATTAACTATGCTCCCAGGAAAACCAATCCGTTTCAGTTGAGAATGTGAAGGGCACAGACCTATCACGTGTATTCTATTCCTAGAAAACCTAGTGTTTATGGAGAAGTGCAACCAGGTAATGGCTGTTTTCTACAGATGCCTTTATGGAGTATAGCAACGGAAAACTTGAAGTCACAGGACCCAACGCAACAGCACATATCTTTGCAACCTATCCAGCTCCGTATCTGTCCCTCATAAATGGATTTGCAGATCAGGTAAGTGTACTGGCTGTCTTGATTCTACAAATTAAACACACTGAAAATTGTAAAACCAAGCAGGAAAAAATACATAGATCTCTAACTGGTATGATGAATCTCACTGTTTTAGTCATACCTCCCTGTGTACAATAGCAATGAGAATGAAGTGCTGTTTGTGGGGGTAACAGTCTTATTTTACAAGCAAGATAATTTCAAGTTGTTCATTCCACATATATCAAATTAATCATTGCACTCTACATGTCTTTAATGCAATATATGTAAGAGGTTTTCTCCAGCATAGATCAGTGTTTCTCCATAAATTTCAGCTCAGCTATGTCCATTTACATCAAAATCCAGCCCATTTTGTGGACCTTAAGTAAGGCTTAAGCAGACAGATTAACACACCTTGAACAACCAAGTTTTCTGCTACCATAAGCCTCCTCTCTAACCTTCTCTTTGGAAATAGATTTGTAATATCTGTTATTTTTCAAATGGCCGAATCTGCAAAAATCTCAGCTTTATTTCCAATCTGTATCCTCTAATCCCACTTATCCAACAGTGAAAATGAAGTTTCCTATCTTCTATCTACTTCTAATCAATTTACCTGGCTTTTTCAGGCATACATGAAATAAATATACTGCGTATGTAAGCTATGAAAAACCAGAGATTGCTGGAGCACAGGAATTCCTTACGTAAAAGACTTGAACATTGTGAAATCTGGCTTCAAAAAAATCCAAATATTGTTTTGAAATGTCGTAAAACAGACAATTCTTTGCATGAGTGAGACTTTTCCATAAGATCTTTTTGCCCACTGATATTTTAAAACAACATTAAATAAAAATAATTTTTTTAAACCCCCAAACTTAAGCTTCTTTAAATCAGTATAAAAACCGAATGTTTTGACATCACCAAAACTTTTGTCTGTTTTTTCCCCTAAGTTAATTATTAGCAAAATCAACATTTACAAAGCCTTTGATTTAAGCAGAGCCGCATTTCCATCAAAGTAATTCCAAGAAAATTTCCTTCATCAGCTGAATTACCATATGCAATAGAGTTCATGTTACAGTTACACATGCAACCTCAATTTAGGTAATTTTTTCGCTACTCAGTTTTGACTTTGTAGACTTCACTTTTTTTTTTTTCTCACATTATGCAATAAAGGATGAAGACGTGCATTTTTAGTCTAATTTATCAGCATAAGCTACAATCACATAAACCACTTCTATAACAATATAACTGATTGTATTGGCGTAGCAGAACTACTAAAAATCAAGTAAGCGGAACTGTTAAATTGATAGGAAAGAAATGTAGGAAGAAAGCATCAGACCTCACACAGGACATGCCTTTTAAATCTTCTATTCTTTCCACACCAGGTTGTTGCAGATTCGCAACAATATCCTCAACTTATTTCTTGTCTTTTTCTTACAGCACAGCTATCAGAACTTGTCATTACTGTGAAGTAAAGAGGCACTGGGTTCCAAATTTTGTTACTCTGTATAGTGGGATAAATCTAAATACCAGATCTGAGCCACCACAATACACAGAGCTGCCATAGCCCCTCTTTTCATAAGTGGAAGGAATCTGCACGTACTTATTCAATATTCTTTTCTTTGCATTGGCCAGGTGATGTCGACAGCTGTTCTTCTTCTGGCTATATTTGCTATTTTTGACACCAGAAATAACAGTGTACCAAAGGGCCTGGAGCCAATTGTAGTAGGACTTCTTATAATTGTTCTTACTTGCGCCTTGGGAATGAACAGTGGCTGTGCCATGAACCCGGCCAGGGATCTAGGCCCAAGGCTCTTCACAGCCATTGCAGGATGGGGGATGGAAGTATTCACGTAAGTATGCCTGGATATGAAGTAAAATGCTCTTGGCTAAAGTTGCTTCCTAGGAAAGTAAGATCCTGATCCAACATGGTACCAAGTTATACTTTATATACATATAGGTAATTCTTTGCATACCAGAAAGAAGCTATTCATGCACTTTAAGCCAGACATCCTCTAGGAACTGGGCTTTAAAAAGGATTTCCTGCTCCTAGGGCAAATCAAACATGCATTATCTCTAATATCAATCATTGTTTCAAGCAGACCCTTCCCAAAATATTAGAGATTCTTAGAGGTCACTGAAAATATAAGAATGCTTTCTTCTCTTGTCCTGCAGCTTTCAGGGGGAAAAAATGAAATAGTGAGAGAGTTAGGTGGGAATATTTATTGGGTGCTGTAAAAAACACAGACATATCAGATTGATTTTAGCCTATTATTACTACTGAGTTATTGCAGAAATATACAACAATCTAAAAGCCTGACTTCCTGCCTGGGAGCGAAGGAGTGAATGAAAGCAAACTCCCTTCATTTTCCCACATTTCAGAGCACACTCCCAAATCCCTGGGCATGCGTGTGCGCACGCACACACACACACTCTTGGCTGGCCAAATGCACAGCTAATTAGTTGCACATCAAATCTGCAGCTTACACATATCCAGTGTAAGAGGCACTCTGGGATATCCAAGTTAGAGTAATCTGTCATCGGGAGGCAGATCTTTTGGTTTATTTTTGTATAGTTTGTTTTTCCATTTATTTACAAGTAGGAATCCCCAGAAGTACTGTAGACCACTAGAGAGCTCTGGTTAATAGAGATTTCATTTTAGCTACTTCACCAAGTACAAATAATCTGTATCTATTTAGTATGACTTCCATCTACACAAATCACGTGCCTTCGTAGAGAAGAGCAGTAGCAAAGCTTTTCTTGCACAAAAAAAAGCTAGGCACAGCATAGAAGAAACAGGCACAGAGTCACACCACAGGCAGATCCAAAGCTCAGCCGTAACACAGCTCTCGTGAGCTGCCAGCAGGACTCAGCTCTTACCGTGGTACCATTAGACTGTAGATTTTTTAAAACAGCACTCACAGAGTAACATCCCAGACCTAGGATTCTCCTCTCTCATGCCTATTTAATTATAAGTAGTTGTCGACTATGTTGTTAATTATAGTGTCATGTACTACAATCTGTAATATATTATGAAGTTGGCTATTATGCTGCTGAAAAAGTTTGGAAGCCTGACCATACTGTGGTCTAGTCACAGAATACCTGTGAACTCCCCTTGCCTCCAAAAGTAAGGTCTTACTCATTTACACTTATGTAATTACAAGAAAACTCTATGTCTGTACCAATATGGACTCTTCCCTAATTTAGTTTTAGGATTTATATACAGAAAGGAAATGTATTCCCACTGTAAAGATCATACTAAGAAATTTAGAAATGGGAACATAAAAAATGAGATACGAGATCTCTGGTGATTGCCAGAATAAACTTATAGCAGTCTCAGGGATGTATAAATTGAGAAGCCTTCCTCCTTGCCTTCAGTTACAAGGCTACAGCTATAAGTTCAAGGGAATGATACAACAGAAATACATTTTCATCTATTTACAGCCCAGATCCAGGTGGGACATAGGAAAAACTTGAGCTTTGTTACGTAGCTGGAAACTTTGGATCAGTTAATAGGAGAAATGAGAATGATTGTAGCTGGGATTCTGAACTGCCTGACACTCTGTTGGCTTTACACATGTGTGAGAGACTTAAGTGATACAGCAACAGTTGACAAGTAAACCTTGGATGTCTCAGCTGGAATTCACAGCCTTGAGGCACGTGTTTAAGCTCTCTAGTAAAAGACATGCCCAGGAGCTGAGACCTAAGCATAAGACCTCCGTAGTGTCACGAGGGAGGTGCTGCACAAACTGAGCAATAGGAAACATTGAAGAGACACTGAGTGTTCATTGGAGTGAGGATGGAAGTATCTCACAAGGTGACAGAGTCATTCTCTGTCCAGGTCAGTGAGTGTTCGGGTGCTGCCTACAGAGCAGGCAGGGACCACCAGGAAAGCTTCCCTTTGGAAGAGGTCAGAGAGTCTCATCCTGCCCTACACCCTAGTCCCAAGGAAATGTTCTAAACATAATCAGTTCACAGGGGAAAATCCCTTCTACCCTTCTTTGTGCTTGCAGATCCAGTAAATTCTGCTTTTATCATATTCTCAACATGGTGTGGTTTCCCCAGACACTGCAATGGGATTTGTTTTGGTTAAAGGCTCCCATTAGAATCTGTTCTGACCCGCTGCAGCTGGAGAGGGGGTATCTGTCTAGCACCCTGTATAGAGCAACATGTTTCACACAATAGATATAGTCAGCACTGTGGCCTGCTCCTACAAACTGCTCCTCAACCTGTTGGGAGTAGCTGTCACAGGTGGCAACTTCCCCCATGATTATCAGGGAGCATAGTGATAGGACAAGGGGTAAAGGCTTTAAAATGGAAGAATGCAGATTGAGATTAGGTATTGGGAAGAAATTCTTCACTCTGAGGGTGGTGAGACACTGGAACTGGTTGCCCAGAGAAGCTGTGGATCCCTGGAGGTGTTCAAGGCCAGGGTGGATGGGGCTTTGGGCAACCTGGTCCAGTGGAAGATGTCCCTGCCCACGGCAGGGGGGTTGAAACTAGATCTTTAGGGTCCCTTCCAACCCAAACCACTCTATTAGAGACAACTGCTGACTTTAGAGACCTCAATGTTTCTAACAATTTGTCCTAAACCCGTGGAAATAAGCAGAAATCTTTCTTAAGCCCACACTTAATGTTCTAATACGCTCAAGAAAAGTTTTGGATAGTGAAGTTCTGTCTGCAGCGAGAAAACAGCCAGCTTTGAGTACAAATACCAGGCTGGATCCTGACAACCACAACAGAGCGTGAAATGGCAACGAGAAAGGGAGCTCTACAGAACAGTATTTCGCCTCAGCGTGTGAAGCTGGCCATAGAACATGGGGTTACTGCCCTTCCTTTTGCACCTCTGCCGCGGCGGGCTCTGGCTGGCGGCGGCCGCGTTGCTGCCAGGGCGCCTGCCTCGCTGCGGGGCCGGGCGGGCCGAGCCGCCGGCGCGGTAACGCTGACACCTCGTGGCCGCCCGCCCCGCCGCCGGCACCGGGGACAAGTGGCCCGGACTACACTACACGGCATTTTCGGAAGGGTCAGGAGACATAACTCTTGGCTGCACAGGGATTTGGACGGGAAAGCGGCCTCTGAAATACTCCGCGTTCCTCCCGGAGCGTAGGACAGTAGCCAGACACCTTCCCCGCTGCCGGATGCTGGAATTACCCTGCATTTCTCACAGCAAACAGCGTTATCTCACCGTCCCACAGCTGCCGGCTAGGCCAGAAATGTATTTGCAACTCTAAAACGGGCCAGAGTTCCCAGTCCACATCACTTATACACTGTAGGTTGCTGCAGATCTTTGCAGCTCACCGAAGTGCTGCTTGCCAGGCCTCTGCCCCCTCCCTCTGCCCTTCACACCCGCTCCCTCCAGCGAAACCACCTGATGGTGACGAAGGCATAGCTGGATGTTCTCCTGCTAACTTGGCAGCAAAGACTAAAGCTAGGGTATAAGGGAACTAAGGTTACTTCAGTGAAGCTATCTGTGCCTGTCACAGAGTTCTTGCTCCTGTGTCAGTGAAGGAGGACTGAGTGTCATGAAACTCGTAACTCAGCTGTGTCCTGATCTTATTTCAGCTTTGGTATTGCCCTCTATAAAGACTCTATACCCATCAACTTAGCAAAGGGTGTCCAAAGTGCAGCTGAAAGCAGCTGTTGCAAATACAGGCCACGGTCTAGAGAAGGTCATGCAGGAGCCAACAAGGCACATGTCAGTTCACAGAACAAGCCAAGAGAGAAACCTGCCAAGAAACACCTTCATTGCATGCCCACGTACACACGCAGGCACACAGAGGAATACGTGCAAGTACTTGGTATAGATTTTGTTGTTGCTGATTAATTCAATAAAACCTTAAGTCCGTGCCTGTTTGAGAAGTTCAGGGGCTCAACAGACTTTCATGATTCGACAACAAACAGATCTATGAACTCAGTAGTACAATATCAGGAGTTATTTTATATCCTTAGGGCAAAATCTAAATAATTCCAAAGGGAAAACATACACAACCAAGGCGTTTCTGAACAAGGAAAATATTATCATCAATAGGGCACCATGTTCTAGCCCTGTTCTATTCTTGCGTTGTGACTTGACCACAAGTTCACTTCTGCATAAATTTATACAACTGAGTACTGAATAATTATCCTTACAGTTTAAAATTCCCCTGGCAGCTTCCTGTAAAGTTCTTCTCATGGATAAATTTGTCCCTTTGTATTTCAGGGAGGAAAAATAAAAGTTACTTCTCCATTTTCAATATGCATGAAATTGAAGTGGCTGGGTTTTCACTGCAGGCTCACTTATTCAATTAATGCAGCATGTTATCGAATCAAAACACCTTCATGCACCAGCAGTACAGTTAAGAAAGTCTATGCTCTGAAACCAGTACTCAGTAATTCACTGCCTGAATGTGGACCTCCAGGAAAGGGAAAGCAATTCTACATCTTGCATAAAGAGTTTGTTATTTATTGTTTTATACCTTTTAATGATGGACTTATTTCTTTAAAAATGTTCATAAATTTACACATTTAAAATTAAATCCTAGTAACTGTGCAAAGTGAATGTAAACATTTCAGAGGAACCAACATGCCAGACTTTGTTAGCGAACACAGCAATTCTAAGAAAGATTTTTAGGTGCATAAAACCTCTAACCACTTATTCACCTCTTACTAAAAGACCCCATATTTTAAACACAAAGACACTACCTAATGAGATTTGAATCTTGACAACTCTAGTTAAGTATAAATCCACTTTACAGTTTATTGTTTGGGTTGGGGTTGGTTGTTGTTTGTTTTTTTTTTTTTAATAGTGTTTTATTATGTTCCTTAAGGCAAATATACTCAAAATCAAGTATAATCTATTACACTTGTCAAAAGGAACACCATATATACTGTTGCAGGCCTCAACCTGAAAATCTCCATGCAGATGAGATAACCCATTTTTGCAACGTACATTTGCATTAGTCACTCCTGAAAACCTATTCATGAGCATCTGGCAACAGCATCAGTCAAGATTGCTGTGCAATAAATATGTCCCAGTTCATTTCACTGTAAGTCAATGAAGCCCATTTTCCACAAGGGAGAAATTATCCCCTGCCCCCAAACCAGACACACAGTAGAGAAGCCTTATTTCCTAAGGTGTGAGTACAGCACTAGACCAACATGCCTGGTGGTTGTTACATTAGTTTTCAGTCACAACACAGGCAGGACAGACAGGTCTGTCATCCATTTACTGAAACGTGAGACAAGATAGAAAGGTCTACAGCATAGTGAGTGTCACAGCACTGTATTTCTTCACTGCCAAATGCTAGAGTAACAAATAATGACAATTCTTGTTTACTTTTTTTTTTTTTTATTCTTACAGGGCTGGAAATAATTGGTGGTGGGTCCCTATAGTTGCACCTATGCTGGGAGGTGTACTTGGAGCAATGACCTATATTGTTTTTATTGAGATTCATCACTCAGATACTCAGCCAGAAGAAAATGAAGTGTATGATAAATATGAACTGACCAATACAGAGTAAGAAGGGAAGAGTTTTCTCTCATTTTGTTGTTTGTAGTTTTTATGCAAATGATTGTTTGGACCATATTATAAAACCTGTATGCCTCAAGTAGAAATTCACATTTCAAAGCAGAAAATCTATGCAGAAGACAAGGTCAAAACCAATCGCTTTCCATGAAACAACAGGCTGATCACATTCAAAACTGGGAACTTGGGGATAGGAAGGGTAAATTGCTGTTCTTTTCACATGGCTTTCAGGTCAAGTCATCTCCTAGATTAAATTGTAGTGAGATGATGCACTGACCTGTTAATTCAACACATATGATCTCAATCATGTTACCTAATTAACTGAAAAGAGATGAGATATTGTTACGAAATGGCATACGTAGGTAGTTAATTGGTTCAGTGCTGAATTAACATGTAAGAGCACCGCTCACATCCTAGAACCATTATTTAAGAATGGTTCCTCTGAAAATTAAAAACAATACCTGAATTGCCTAAAAGTCAACTGAAATGGTTCTAAATAACTTAAATTTTTATGAAGTCACTAATTGAACAGCAAGCAATCAACCTATCAGTGATGAGGTTTAGTAACTCAGAATACAATCACAAAAGGTAAAAACTGTGTGTTATAAGAGCAACGCCAAAAAGACAAAGCACCTTCTGCACAGGTTCTTCATGTTCAGTTATTTTTAAACTATTTACTTGGCCTTTATGCTACCCAATATTAAAATTCTAACCTATAATATCAACATGAACCTCTTCCCCTGTGCTTTCTGGATAAAATTAATTCCTGCGGAGATGGGCCAGCAACAGAGGCTTATGCTGTGCAGGGGTCAGCACAAGGCCTATGTCTGTATAAGCTTTAAAAAGGCTTTCTGCTGCTGATCTACACAGGGGGCTTTCTTCAGCTTTAGGGGAGTAATTTTTATTTGGGAAGCAGTAATTAAAATTAGAAACTAGTCTCAGGCCTAGTCCTAGTTCTGAATTCCCCAAGGAAGGCCAGCTTCTCATCAGAGTTGTGAAGTATGGGTTCTCTCTTGCTAAAGAGAAGTGGTTGGACATACACCACTCCCTAAATATCCAGCCTGAAAAAATGAAGTTATTTCTGCTTAGTCATTGTGAATTGAATCTAGCCAATTAAATCAAAGTTCATTTCTAATATACATACATATATATATATGGGTGGTGGTGATCATGAATAAATAGACATCCTATTCAGTGATGCTTCTGAGCTATTTTCATGGCAAAACTTCAGGGTACCAAGTTCCATGCACTCATTTTAGAGCACTCTTCCCTTTGGATTCCTACAGTTCTGCTCCCAAACATTCCACAGTATTTTCTGATATCGGTTCTGAAAGGAGAAACCCTTCATGTTGCCAGTAAGAGCCTATGCATTTTGGTGAGGCATCCACGCAAGTGTTTTGGAACACACTGTGGTGAGAATCTGCCTCAGCATTTGGGCACATCAGGCCTGTGTCACCACAAGTCTTTATCACACTCCCTGATATGCCACGCTGCATTCATGGCAACAAAGAGGTGGAACTAGCAGGTCAAGCAAAGCTTTGCTTGCTGCAGCTGTAAGGCAGATGATGTGGTATACTTGAGGTAGTATAACTCCAATTTTAATTATGTTGTTGAAGAAAACATACAGAACTGTAATGAACTCAGGTTGCCCAGTGACCATATCAACCCTGTGCAAAAAAGCTCATTTGATTCAGTTTTTCTCTGCTGTGGGTTAAAAACTGATATAAGTATATCCATCCACATTTAACTGCATTGTATCATTATCTGGAGAGCCTCAATAACAAGAAGGAGGACTTACAGAATCAGTCCTCAACGCAAGCAGAGACAGATACAGGAGAACGAAGAATACACCATAGAAATTATTCCTAACTGCAGACCTTATATCGGCAGCACAGACAAGTTAGTTCATCTGTCCTGTATTTTGATAAATTGCACTACATAAAACAAGATAGTGTGTAAAAGTGATTGCAGACTGAGCTTCCTTTTGCTCCCTCTTGCAATGAGTCCTGTCTCACCCCTTGGTGATACCTGGCAGGAGCACTCATAGGTGGCTGCCAGCCATGTGTCTCAAGAGAGAGATTACATAGGTTGGAACAGCCAGAGGGCTGCCCTCAGGTCTAAAAGGCGCTTACTCTTCCACTGATGCCAACATCTAACATGAAATGTCTGTGCAGAAAAAAACAGACAGCCAATTAACCAGATGTAACTGACTTTGTCCAAAATGGTGGAGTCAGATTATCACTTATTGTGCTAGAATTTTGCATAGTCTGTAGGCTTCATACACCTCACGATATTGCTTCCTTTAATACATCACGGAAAACATGGGGAAAAGCAGAATGCAGGTCAGGAATGAGAAAGGGACAGTTTATTTATACAACCTACTGAGTGACCAGCCCACACTCAGTGTGTGTCTGTGCATTGGCCAAGGTACATAAAGTTGTATGTTTCCTCAAAATCCTACTGATCAAAACAGATTTTGCCTGTAAGTCAACACGATTTGTTTCTCCTGTTTATGACATTCCTATGCACTGAATTTCTGTATAAGTCTGAAGTTATTACTTGTCTGAAGTTATCAACATGCAAATCATAAGCAGTGACACAGTAGAGTGATAGCACAGCAATATCTAAAATATGCTCTCAACAAGTTATTGTCAATGCTGTGTTTGCTTAAAGAACTTATTTTTAAACTTTAATTAGTAATTTAATAGGTTTGCAAGTTCTTTGAAGACGCGTGGTACTAGTACCACAATTCATACTGACTTCACAAACCCCAGAATTTCATTGAGGAACAAGGTATTTTAGCCCTGTCTCAGATTTCACATAATTTACATTTATAAGAATGAATTTCTGATTTAGGGACAAAACTCAGTTGAGTCTTAACTGCAGAACCACGACCAGTATCTCTATAATATAATGGGAACAATAATAATCATCTCATGCCATAAGCTTCCACAGACATCATGATTGTTTTGTGCAAAACAAAAAATATTTTTAGTTTGCATAAACTATGCAATTTTCTAATATTAAACTGATATTCAGTGTTTGCACTCATGTTGAATTTATATAATACAGTCGGAAATAAGAAACATTTTTTCCAGCTGTAAGACATTCTGGTTAATGCATTAATAGTAACCAGGCTTGACCATTTCAGTGTCGAAAAACCTTCATTTTCAGAGGATTGTTCAACTCCGTCTGGGTTTGTTCTTTTCGGGCAGTGTGTTTGTTCTTTAGAGCTAAACTTAGTACTGAAGTAATTTGGAGAGTGATCCTGCAAATAGTACTGGGTTAAAGGTTGGCTACTGCATGTTGTTTCATAGAAGCCAGTGGAATTATTCACAACGGGAGGCAATACAGGCAAGGATAAGTGCTCAGAGAATCGAGCTCGGACTATAGTGCAAATTGTACTTTCTTGTAGTTTTGACTGTGGGTCTGGATGAATGTGTTATGGTTCAAAATAAAGGCAGTCAATCCCTAATAAATGCATTGCAGTACTATTTTTATTTTTATAAAAAAACCCAACCTCCCCCCTGGCACCTAAGGACACATTAAGAAATAAATAGTTGCCTATTACGACCTACAATGTTTTATAGCCTTGTGCTGGAAGAACACATTGGCTAACAAGCTGTATTCCCAGAGTGCAGCTGCTGTGGCAGATTTTGTGGGTCAGAAGCAGCACCAAAGCAGCAAAATGCTCCCAGATGAGTAATGGCCACTGCTGGGCCAGGGGAACCCGTGCAATGAGAGGGCCAGGGCCCTAGCCTCTGGACCTTCTCCTATTCCTGCCTGCATCCTGCCCAAGGACATGTTTTGCCACAGCTTTCCCAATGGTCTAACAGCAGCCAGAACATAGGTGGGATATTTTGCTTAAGTCCCTCTTCAGAGATTGCTTTTAAGGCACGCATATATCAATTAGATTTGGCCTACAGTGCTTACAAAATGCCCCAAGAAAATTTATCTATGTTCTACTTTACAAATTTGTAACAGGGACATGCTTTGCTCTTTTCATTTAAAAAGCACATGAAAGCTTGTGCAGGGCAGGGAAGATTAGGAGCTTCAATTTTACTTAGGGAGCCACAAAAGGGAAAAAAAGGAAAATTAAAAAAAAAGGAAAAAAACAAAACCAACAACCCAATTTGAAGTGGCATTTTACCCTCCATCCATTCTAATGACCCTTACCTTCCCAGAAGTCTCTCTTATTTTCTGTTCTCCTTTCTTTCTCCTGCCAACACTATGTGCTGTGCTCTGTCTCTATACAGTACAATACATCTCCAGAGATTTAAATACAGCATGCTTTTCTCAGTTACTTATGAGTCTTAGAAAGTTCTCATGAGAGCAAATTCAAGTTTCACCTCACACGCTTGTTTTTTGGCAGTTGCTTGCATTTTTTCCCCACTGTTCCCACCAAACAACCTTGTGCTGGAAAATACAACAATTAACTGTAACTTCCAGTAACAGCTGCTCTTTTTCTGTTTAGTACAATTGTTATTGCATAACAGATTACTTCTTTCAAACATGTACAAATTTTAAAGCCTTCCTTTTTCAAATCACTATTAAAAATAGCCAAGATCATCCAGAAGAAAAAAATATCTCTCCGCACATTAGTTAGTAGCTTGGATTTTTATCTTCTATTTTGCACTTACAACTTGTTAAAAAAACCCTCTTATAATTGTAGGGTGAATGGTTAGTGTCTTTATGCTTATTTACACACTCTAATGACATAGTCTCAGAGGAGAAAACAGTAGGTAAATACTTTTAGCCATTGACATTTCGTTGTATATTTGAATCAAATATTAAAGAAATCCATGCAGTATGAAGCTAGACATGGCATACTTATGTCATTTTTCTCTCTTTGCTAACCACTGCTTCCTTTAAAGGGTGTTACTAAGATAGGGAACATGAACATCACAGCACCTTAAATCAGCTGTGATCAAACTTTCTGGCCAGATGACCCCACTTACCTCCTTTTCCTCGACAGAGGAGGACAGACTAATATGGTCTCTCTTCAACCTGCCTATAGACTGAGCAGTCCGCTTTACATTGTCAGAAATCAAGCTTTCCTTTCATGCTTCAAACATTGCTCCAACCATCCAGAAATTGAGAGTAAAGATCCTGCTATGTACTACATTGACAAATAAAGCAATAATAAAGAAGAGACGAAACTTCAAGAGCTGGTAAAACAAAGCAAGCCCTTTTGGCCAGAGGTTAGCCAAAAAGGCTGATTGATAAATGCTTGGTTACCTCAGAAAATAGCACAAATTTTACTGGGGAATATGGAAATAAAGAGACAACAGCAGGAAATAACACTATCAGAAGATTTTCTTTTTGTTCACTTGTCAGAAAACACATCTGTTTTGGATACAAATTCAAACATTCTCAATATCACCAAGAGAACCAGTTGAGGCACATTAATACTATTATTTCCTCAGCATTAGGCACAAAATAGTTTAATAAGTGAAAGATACTTTCCACACCCCCAGAAATGAAAGTACTTTTTGTCACTGCACAACTCTTCTCAGGAAATCTGGCCTGACTTCCAGTTATTAACAGGGCTGAGACTGAACAAGCCTCAAAGCAAACAATACATTAAGACTTGAGAAGTCAGCATCTGAACAAAAGGAAATGAACAATCTCAACTAGAATTGAACAGATGCAACACTTCCTGTAGCATGATTGAGGCATCAAATAATAAACATGAAGCCAAAGCAGCAGCACATGCTTGGCCAAAAAAAAAAAAAAAGCTAAATTAGCAAGCTGAGTGTTTTGTAAATGCCTTTTAAATAGACTAATAAAATAAATTGTATCTGAGAATAAAAGGACTAAACTGCGGTGGTGATTTTTTTCCATAGTAAAGGAGCAAAATTTGAGAATTTGAACATTTTCAGGTTATTGAAACAAAACACACAAAAAAAAGAAGGAAAAAGAACACAAATCTCAGTGGGGAGAAAGGGAAAGCACAGTAGTAACTTTCTTGAATTAATTTCCAGCCCTATGAACCCTGCTGCAGCCCCTCACAAGAAACAGTAAAGACCTTTTCATTTAAACTGCATGATACCAAGACCAGAATTGTTTTATCTTCATTTCCATCTCAGATGTTCACAACATTGGCAGCTGATGGCACTGCAAAAAACTTCTGCTATGTAACCATTCTGGTATCTAAAGAAGAAAGCCTGTTTAGCTTCAATGCAGAGAGAATTTTATCTCATACACGTGTAATCCCCAGTGGGTTCATGCTTTTCAGGCTATAGAAACAACACCTGTTTTTGAAGATGCCAGCACTGAAGAACATCTATCAGAAACACAAATAAAGGGAGACATGAATCCAGCTGCCAGATTACCATGGAATCCCAGGGGAAAACACAAGTGCAAAGGCTTCTCCAGCAAGTCGTGGGGAAGAAAGCAACAACAGATAAACTTTGACTCAGAAACACATGTTCTTCACACCTATGAATAGTCTTCACAGAAGAATGCTTCAAAGATACAGGCCATTTGCAAACCTAATGTATATGCAAACACCACTAGCATTTCAGAGGCTTCTGGTCTGAGTGAATGTGACAGCTGAACAAAATATGGATCTAAACACAAACATTTGTATCTTCTGTCACAAAAAGAAAATACTAAAAGCTACAGAATACTGGAAGTAGTAGCCCAATTTGCTGTCACAAACAATTCTTTGAAATTAGAGAAACGCAAGAAACTGAAGAGTACAGCTTTAAAACAAAGGATAAAAATCTACCCAAACTATTTACCCTGCCTGCAAGTGAATCTGTAGCCTTTTCTTCTTCCAGGTCTTTTCTCTGGATGTCTAGCACAACTGGCAGCAGGCCTCTGGTTCTCTCTTGGGCTCCTGTCTTGACTGTGTGCCACTGATCTTTCATATCCATTGAGCACCAGGCCTCATCCAAAAATATTCCATTTCCATGCAGCCAAAAAAACCCAGTTATCTTTATAGTTTATATCAAAATTAATATGGTTCCATATAATTTCACGAAACGTATACTGGTAGTAAACTGGTCATCCAACAATTCACCTGGCAATTACACTTTTTTTCCTTGCTTTTAATCAGAGGTGTTGCTTACAGTTATTGTCCTACCAGGTTGCTATCTCACTAAGGAAGATCTATAGTACATGGAATTTGGATTTCCCCCAAGGGAAAATCCTAGAAGATGAAACAGCTCAGGCATTGGTGGATTTTATTTGTTATACAAGATTGACTGTGAGAAACTGAGTAGTTACCTACACTCTGTTACAGGATGTGGTTCATAAGTCAGTAAGAATCAGATGATCTTCCAGATTCTGGGTAGAAAGTGTTTAAGGTTAATGGAGTTCTTATTTGTACATCTTGTTTCTGGTAATTTCATTAGAAATTAGAAAGCCAGAAACAAACATACATCCCTATAAAATACTAAGTAAACTTTAGAGCACAGCTATCCTGGGGAAAAATAACAAACCAACCAAACAAACAAAAAATCTAACAAAAAATCCCTCAGAAATCTTTTCAGATGTGGAAAATTCACTCAATTCCCAAAGAGTAAGTGTATAAAGTTTATAAAAATGAAATGTTGTAAAGGGATTCCTATGACCTGAACCTTTTTGATGGCATTTTAATGTTATCATGACTGAGGTAGCCATGCTCAAAAATACTTAGTTGGCTTTACTTCCAAATTTTTTTTCCCTTAATAGATTTATAACATCATAGCCTCTGGCTATGAACTATGCTTCTGTCATCATTTTTCCTGCTTTCCCTGAAATTCTAGTGTTCTGTTCCAACACTTCTGAACTTTTTAATATTTCTTTTTCCTTTTTTTTTTTTAATAAACACAAATGTAGTCCTATCTTATGTGCTTTTATTTGGTCTGATAATAAACACATCCTCCTTCACAATCATCTCACTCAGCTTTGGTACACTCAGCAAAGCTCCCTGACTCCATGCAGGTGGTGTGTCTAACTGTGGAAGTGCAACGTTACACAACAGCCTTCGAAAAAAACAGCAGCTGCTCAGTCAGTCCTAGAGAGCTTCATCCCACAAACCTTCCTCCTACAGTGACTTTGGGAAGATTTTCACTGTCAGAACAGTACTTTACTCTGTAGGACAGCTTTATCAAAAGCAACATCTAGCACGAAGGACATAGAGGTACCTCAGCTTCACTGGGAGAGGAAGAGGATGGTGCACCTACCTAGGAGGGGTGCAGTGCTGACTAAAGGCGTCCAGCTGTTCTGTAGTAAGGGTCAGAGAAAAGCTTGGACAGAAATAATATTTTCTATTGTAGCAAATGTAGCATTGAAGCATAAGAAGCTACTTCAGGCATGCAATTCCTCTGCTGGGCAACTTTGACCAAGGGCTGATACAAATACATATGACAAGGTCAATATAAGTTGCTGAGCATTTACACAGCAAAGAGCAGTTCCTGGTGGAAGGCAGTGCTTTAAAGAACCCTTTTTCTCCCTGCCCCCACCAGTGCCGAATATCAACACTTGCAAC